AGCCACAGCCCGTGCAGCCCGGGGGGAGCAGGGGCACGGCCCCCCCGAGGGAGGGGCCGGAGGCAGATTCTCCAGCGGGGACCAACCTCCAGGTGGCGAACCCTGAGCCGGAAGCTCCTAACCAAGCCCTTCCCGCCCCGCCCCTCGGAACCGAGAGGTGACCTGTGTCGCTGTCTGTCTGCAGCTGCGTATGTGCGGGGCCTCCATGCTGCAGCAGCCTGGCAGTCACCCCGAGCCAACGCTCTGCTTTAAGTCCCCCCCTCTCGTGAGCCTTGGGAGCTGCCCCTGCACTGTGAGGGTCTCACGTCACACTGAGGGGGTCCGGGCGGAGACAAGCTGGCCGGTGACCCTCAGTGGTTGTAACGGACGGAGTGAAACGGCCCCCTAGGTGTAAAGCGCTCACGGGGTCACTGACGCAGACCTTGCTTCCGGAAGGTTCTCACGGGCATTGTGGGGTACGTGCCACGGGCATTGTGGGGTGCACCCCAGGGCCTGACAGGCTGGGCCAGAAAACCTCCCTAGTCAGGACAGTTTTAAATCGGATGGACTCAGCCAGTTTGGATCAAATTTAAATGTGAGGTTTCTCGCTCCTTCAGGTATTTCCCGTGGGGGAGTGAAGTTCCAGTTGACATGTTTGGGAGTGATTTTCCCCGGGAGGCCTGGGCGAGGCTGGGGCGAAACCTGGAGAACGGAGGGCGGTGGGCGCGGCCTTCCCTGCCCGCGGCCTGCGGGGCTGCGTGGGGTTCCTTCTCTCCCCTTTTTTCTGTTGAGGCCTTCGAAGGGATGTGTGAGTTTTTAAGAACTTTCTTGCAGAACTGACGAAACTTACTTCGAAGACTCTGTTTGTCAAATAACATGTACGGCGTGGGCTCCAGGGGGAAAAAAGCCTTCCGACCTCGGACCGTATTCCCACAGGTCGGCGCCCGTGGAAACACGTGCGTGACAGGGCAGAGGAGAGGCGGGGCACGACCTCTGGGCCTCACGCGTGTTCCTTGCTGCCGCAGGGGGACCCGTAAGAGGTGCCTGTGCTCACGGAGCCGAGTCCCACCTCCGTCTCCGTGGGTGCGAGGCCGCCCGGCCCGGTGACGTGGGTAGGTCACCGTTTTTTTCAAGTGTTTTTTTTAAGATTGTTTTAGCTATTTGGGCTCTCTTGAGATTCCAGGTATATTTTTAAATGGGTGTTTCTATTTCTGCAAAAAACAATCACTGGGGTTTGGACAGGGATTGCGCTGACTGTAGATTGATTGCTTTGGGTGGTATCGACATTTTAACAATATTAAACTCTCCGATTCATGAATGCGGAGTATCTGCCCATTCATTTATGTCTTCTTTAACTTTTTTCAGCAATGCATTGTCATTGTCACGGCATGTCTTTCCTCTCCTCGGTCAATTCCTAAGTATTTTGCTCTCTTTGATGCTGTGGGAAATGGGTTGTTTTCTTCATATCGTTTCAGATTGTGCCTGGTTAGTGTATAAAATGCTCCAGTAGTTTTTAATCTGGGTTTTAACCATTTCATTGAGTTTTCAATTTCAGTAACAATTGCTTGTGATTTTCTTATGTTTTCAATTAGTTCTTTGATTTCTTTAATCAGTTTAATCACCCTTATTTATAGCCTTCACAGTTCTTTGGTTTCTACTCTTTCCCTTCATCATCTCTACGGCGTCTCTCGTGGCAAACTGCTCTCCAGAGGTTTAGACAAATTTTTAAGTTTTTTTTTAAGTATTTTTTTAAGATCCCATGTATTTATTTTAGAGACTGGAGGGGAGGGAAAGAGGGAGAGATATATCCATATGTGCTTGCCTCTGGCACGAGCCCCCCCACACACACACCGGGGACCCGGCTCACAACCCAGGCATGTGCCCTGACTGGGAATTGAACCAGCAACCCTCTGATTCTCAGGCCGGCACTCAATCCACTGAGCCACACCAGCCAAGGCAAATTTTTAAGTTTTAAACGGACTTTCAGCAAGCCACTGAGAGCTCGGTGTGGGCTCTGCTGAGGGCTTCGCTCTCCAGATGCGCTGTGTTTGCTATGGCCAGGAAACCCGGGGGTGGGGGGGGGCGCCAGCCAGGAGCCCATTTTTATGTTAATGTGTCTGCATTAGAATGTCTCAGACCGATCCCCTCCTCAGGAAGGCCGCTCTAGGGCTCTGAGTGTTCCAGGGAGACATTGGTTCCCTCCTGAGCTCAGGCAGACAGAGCTGAGATGGCGAGATCACCAGCCTCCACCGTCCTGCATGCTGGTCTCAGCGCCGATGTCCTGCTTCGAGCGGTTGCAAACCCTTGCACCCCAGCTCCGGTCGGGCCGGGGCCCCTGACGACTCGGGTCACGGCCTCCCCTGCACTCTCGGCGCACGTGCGCACGCGCGTCCCTGAGCTCTCTCCGCGGCCCTGCCGCCCTTGCGGTCTCCGGCTGGCGCTCCCCAGGCCCTCGCACATGCTACACCCTGTGCCTCGCCGGAAGCCCCTTCTCCAGGGGCCGAGGGAGCCTGTCCTGGGCCACTGTGTGCCCCCTGGTCGCTCGCTTCTCGCCTCTGCGCCCAGTTTCTGCAGAAATGGGAGACCGCAGGTCTGCCTGCCTCCGAGCATCTGTCCGCGGTGTTGGGAACCGAAACGAGATGCGAACTGACCTGCACATTTGTCGTCTGCGGTCAGGGAGGCCTTGGCTGCAAAACCGGGTGAGGACAGAAAAGAAGCGACAGCTCCTTTTCTAGTAAAAGACTGGCTAATGGAACTCCACCGTGTTGGCTCGTTCGAGTAGCGTGCATCGCAGGCATGCACGGAAAAACCAGTGCAGTCTGCTAATATCGACACAGTGAAAATGTTTTACCAAACGCACCCCCAAGTTATTTTTTACGATTCTCAAAAAAACCCACAAAACCAAACCCCACCCTAACCCTGAAGCGCTCCTCCTAAAATTGATGGACTGTATCTCCCCACCAAACCCTAGGGCCACGTGACGCACAGCGGAGAAAGCCGGACCTATTCTCGGTAGGATCTGGGATAAGAAGACACGGACATCGTCCCGCTCCTTCACCGTCACCGGGAAGTCCCAGTTAACGCTGTGAAGCAGCTCAGAAAAATAAAATAAAATAAGATAACACAAAAAAGTTAAGGAAAAGGGAGGGAAACGGCCTGGGTTTCATTGGACTTCACAATTCATTTTTCTCCGCCACGCAGTTGTAACCTCTTTGCAGCCAGAGGTCGCGTCCGATGCATTTACTAAAATCCGGGCCGGCGCGACCCAGTTTTCGAGTTGGTGGTAGGTACTCGTTTACAACAAGGATGCGGAGTGGCGGAGATGAAATGAGATTCACACGTGGAAACGACTTGCACGTGCGAGAGAGGTAATCTCTCGTGACATCACCTCTCATTTCAAAAGACTGTGCTGCTGCCCAGGCGTCCAAGCCCCCAGCTCACGGCCCCGCCCCCGCCCCGCCCCCTCCCGGGCCGCCTTCCCCGGGCCCGCCAGCAGGTGGCGCTCGGCCTCCACCGGCCGGACCGCACGCGCCGCCCGGCCCCGCCGCCGCCCGTTCCCTCCGGAAGGTGGCGCTCTTCCCCGACGCTGCCGCCGTTCCTCGGGGCCCGCGTCCAACCGCGGCCCGCGGTCCCCGGCGCCCGGCGCCCGCGCCCCTGCTGCGCGGCTTGCCCGGAGGGCCCAGGAGCCCCTGCCGGCGGCCCTCCGTCCGGGCAGCTCCCTCGCCCGTCCGGGCCGACCGCGCGCGGGTCGCCGAGGCTGGGGGCGACCCGGGCCAGTGCCTGCGCCCCCGCCCGCGCGCGGCCCCCGGAGGACAGACGGAAGGACCGGGCTGAGGGCGGCGGCTGACCCCCGCGCTTCCCGCCCTCGCCCCGCGGGGACCCTGCCAGGCGGCGCCAGGCGGGCTGGCGTGCGGTGGCCAGGCCCGGGGTGCCGGGTCCGGAGCGCGGCCTGCGTCGGGACCGCCGGCCCCGGCCCGGTGCCGCCGCCGAGCCCGCCCCGCCCCGCCCCGGAGCACCGGTACCAACCGCACCGACGGCCCCGGGGCGCGGCGGGGGTCCCCAGCCGTGCGGGCCGCCCCCGCCCGGTGCCCCTCCCCCCGCTGGCGGGCGATGGACTCCGCGTCCGGGCAGGAAGCGCCGCCCCCGCCCCCCCCAACACCTGCACGGCCGGGCCCAGAGGGTGGCCCCAGGTGAGACGACTGCCGTGCCCCTTCCCTCCTCCGGGTCAGCGCTCCTCCCTCGGGCCTTCCAGAACCTACCACCCCGGCCCTCACCCCTAGGGGAGTATCTCCCACTTTGAGAATATAGTACAAATACACGAGGACTTTTGAGTTTTAAAGACGTATCTAGATTAACCACCCCTTTTAAAGCAGGGTCCGAATGTTACCACGTGGGGGCTCGCCGCAGCCACGGCACGTGGGGGTGTCTCTCGCCTCTCCTTCCCTGGGAGTCGGGGAGCGCAGTCAGGGGTGAAGGGCGAGCGCGCAGCCACCTGCGCGGGAAAGCAGGCCAGGCCCAGCCCTGCCTCCGGGCGCTGGGCGGGCGGCGGGTGCACCCAGTACCGGGAAGCTGCGGAGGCCGAGCGCTCGGGGCCCCGCAGCTCCGCCGCTGGGAGCCAGGTGACACCCGAGGGGTCTCTTAGCCCTTCCCCTAAATCTTCCCTCACGATCTGAAACCTATGGATCCTTTTCTCTTATGAGGAACAAGCAGTTCCCTTTACTCCAGAAGTGTCGGAACACCTCCTCGGGCAGGCAGCCCGTCCAGACTCCAGGTTCACTTTGAATGAGCGACTCCTCAGTCTGAAACTCAGCCACAAGGCACAGAACCAGTTTTCCCTGAGGAACTAAGAGAAACTCGGGTGTGTCTACCGTCCCAGCCCTGGGCTTGTATCAGATAAGCGTCTCTGCTCTGGAGCTACCAACAAGGCCTCCAGAGTGGCCGTGGCTGCAGGGGTGAAGGGCAAGGGGTTAAATAAAATGGGGGCCGGGGTGAGACCTGAAAAACCATCCAGAATTCAGATATCGGCTCCAGACATGTTTTATTATCATCTTACACAGTCTACATAAATTTGAGCTTGTATTGATTCAGGTTCAGTTATAACATAGCATAATAAAAATCAAAGCACTGGTCCTCTGAAATAAAGCGAGCAAATCACCATTCAATAAACACACTTGATTTATTCTGTATAAAAGGTTAAGTTTACAACTAAACTTTTATAAAAAGTTTAGCATAGGTACATCATTACACTTTGTACGCAGAAATAGACATCTCTGCCGCTATACAAGAAAACTCTGATTAAAGAGTTCACAAGGTTTCACTCAATATATATTTATATATAAATATATACACAGCATTCAGCAGGCTTGCGTCCAAATGGCCACTGCTGACCGAAAGACTTCACTAAGTAACTGAACACTGGATCCTTCTGGTACTCGCGCTCCACCTTTGTCAAAGGCAAAGTCTGCTAAGATTGGGCAATTCCTTGTGATTTTCACGTTGGCGCTCCCCATGGTGGGAACAGTATATAAAGAAAACCTTCCAACTGCAGAAAGGGCATTAAAAGTCTTTTTCATAAATAACTACCACAGTCCGGCCCGCGCAGAAACTCCCCGGGGAGGAGGATCTGACCCTTCTTGGTTCTGCTTCCATTTTTTAAAAAGGTCCATTCAACGTGCTGTCCTCCTTGTGAAATGGCTGAAAAGTAAGTTCCTGTGGGTCTGTTGTTGTGCAAAGCGGGGAGAGTCATGAACACCTGCAAAAGATTGCGAGAGAAAGGCAAGTTTAGGAGAAGGCAACCTAAGGGCAGAGGCGGGCAAGGCTGGCGCCGGGAGGAAGCCACAGTTTGAACATTTAACCAAACACTCAGATTGGGCAAACCCCGGCGTCCAGATGCGGCACACACAACACTCGGCCCCACAGCGCAGATTAAACACTGAAACAGCAGCGACTCCAGGGAAAAACTTCCCAGCGCAATCTCCCCTTCGGATCTGCAGCAGCGGCGCTCCCAGGCGCCAGTCTGCTTCTTGTAACAATTATTTGATTGAAAACAGCCCTTTCGTTAACAGATAGGGCAGCCGGATCCCACATCACAGGCAGGGCGGGCTGAGGCACAGGGCAGCAGTGCCCGCCTCGCGGAATCCCACGGGGCCACAGTTTTGGGAAGGAGGGTCCCTGTGGAATTTGCGGCGATAAGATTAATCACACGGAGGTTAGTACCTCGTAGTACCAAAGCAGCAGCAGACAGCCGCCAGGGCACTGCATTCCAGACAGAAGCCAACACACACTTTCTTCCACCACCTTCCTAGGAACTTCTTGGCCTGTTTCTCCTTTTTTTTTTTTTTTTTAAGTAAAATACCCTGGGATCTTGGGTCACCAGGGCTAGAAGCTCCTACATGCGGACAATGCACTCACATTCATTTACTAGATCCAGTTTTTTACTGATACACAAGTACCCGCACACGCGAAGAAACACTCCAGGGGCAGTTTCGCCAGCGGGAGCCACAGGCAAAAAAAAAAAAAAAACACTCACCATTTACTCAGCCACAGAGTGCTTTGCTGTCATTTGACATGAACTCAGAAGGGAATTCAGAAGCCTGCGAGAGACAGGGGACAAACGGCACGATGTTAGACAACCTTACGGAGAAAGGGCCTCTTTCTCCCTCTCTCTCTCTCAAAGTAGCCCATATAGCAGCAAGTTCCGTGGAATATGTCTGTGCTATAATTCAGATCAGAGAGAGGGATATGAGCATGTCAGAACTTAAAGCAATTTCACGCACGGCTCAGTCTACACCAGATTGGTAAGAAAATAAAGTTAATTGGCTCATCTGTGCAGTCCCCGACCACAGCCGTTTGGACAATAATGGGGTGTGCCCGCGGCAGCCCGGGCGAGGGGAGCCGGGGTGCGCGGCGGCGAGCCGGGGGGCGCCGGGGGCAGGCCTTACCTGCAAGGACAGGATGCTGATGTCCGTGTTCAGGGTGGTCAGCGGCGTCCTGGACGCCTGGCTCTGGCCGGGGCGCGGGTGGTGCAGGCTGACGATGGTGGGGTGCGAGTCCAGGGCGATCTGCAGGTCCAAGATGTAGTCGATGACGTGCTGCAGGATTTCCATCTTGCTCACCTTCTTGTTCTGGGGGATGCTGGGCACCAGCTCCTTGAGCTTGGAGTAGCAGTCGTTCATGTTGTAGAGCAGGCTCATCGGGTCGTCCACCGGGGTTTTGCTGCGGGAGATGCCCAGGCTGTGGTCCGAAAGGCTGTTTTTCCTAACGGACCTCACGGGGCTGAAGGCTTTCATGCTGACCGCGGGGAAGGAAGGAGAGAGCGGGAGGGAGCGGGCTGCCCCGGAGATCAGGCCGCCGCCGCCGCCGCCTGCTGAGCTCCCAGCGCTCGGCCCCGGGCTCGACTCAGAATGAAGCCGGGAGCGCGGCGGGGCGGCTTTTATCTGCGTTAGCCGGGGCCACACGATCCAGCTCTCCCGCGTCCCCATTGGTGAAAGGAGACGCGTCCATCAGGCCGGGTGGGCTCTCCCATTGGCGGGCGCGGGCGCGGGGCGAGAGCTCGGTCCTTCCGCGTTTGCAGCCAATCCCCGCGGGGTGGGCGGGGCGAGCGCGAGCCCAGCTGGGGTGGTAAATAGAGTACAGTACGCGCGGGGCCGGAGGGGGCAGGGACACCGGGGCAGAGTGAAGGGGGCCCGGGGGGAGAGGGTGGGGGGCGGGGAAGCCGGGGAGAGAACCGGGTCGGTAAGGGAAGGTGGGGGAGGGGGACTCGCAGCAGTCTAAGTGTGCGTCTTAATTCTCATTCCAATGGGGAGGCAGGACCCTCGCCCTAGGGTGTGCCCGACACCTTGGAGCGACCCCCGCCCCCGCTCCGCAGCCTTGGATTCGCAGCGCCCCCGGCGAGGTCCGCGCCGCCGAGGCAAAGCCCCAGTTCCCTGCGACCCAGGCAGGGAATGTTACCTAGACAGAAAGCAATTCTGCACAAAGGAAAAACGCAACTAAGTTCGTCACTGGCAACTGACATTTACAGAGAGACTTCGGTCTTTTAAGGAAAAGCTTTGTGGGGAAAATAATCCACGCGCGCGCTCAAGGACGGGTCCAGTGCGGGGTCCGCAACCCAGAGCAACGCGGGAGGCGTTGTTGTCAGCTCGGTGGCATGTGTGCGTGCTCGTTGGGAACGGAGCCGAACGCGCAGGAGCTCTGAGATGCAGGACGCTCTGGGGGGCCTTTTCCCGAACTGGGCAGAACTATTATAATGATCGCACTAATCGGAAATCATTAGGGTAATTTGCATATTGAGGCCGTATTTACATACACTGCCCTTGAGGCTGCGGGTCTGTGCCCTGCAGTGTAGGTGGCAAAGTAATGTAATTAATTATGCACAAGGAGTGATTGCGGGTGTCACATTCCAGCACCTCCAGTGCTTTTAAAGCTTCGTGACAGCTAGGCGGCCCCAGCCCTGGACCGACATCTTCACACTCTTCTTCTTAACCATTGTCCTGTGTGAGGTTTGGAGTCTTTTCCGCGCTGGTGATGAATGCAGCTTAGGGGGTGTTTTCCTTTATTTTTTTTCCTTTCCTGTAAATCTTTAAACACTCATTCCTGAGGTCTAAATTTTTATTAAAGTTTGCAGCTCTTTATTCAAACACTTCGCAGTTAATTCACACGTAATTCCAGCTTAGCTGAAGCCCACAGTAAATTGTGGGTTTTGAACATCGTGCTCACCCCGGCGCACACTCCACCAGAAAAATGCGAGAGCATCTTGTTTGTGTTTGGCCAGGACCTCCGCCTTTTCCACAGTGATCCCCACCTCCTTTGCATTTAAGAAGAGAAAGGGGGGAGAAAAAGCAGCGCTTAATAATGGGGAAACAGTCTTTCCCCTTCCATCGGTGATGAATTCCTCCGCCGGTGGGCCAGCCCTGTGCCCGCCCCAGGGCCTCTCCTTAGGGAGGCGGGGTGGGTGGCGCGGAGGTGCAGGTCACTCGCCCGAAAACCCAGCCACCTCGCTTCGCAGGAGGGAGGTGGGCGGCTTCCTGGCCAGCGGAGAGATCTGTGGAGGGCCAGGCCCTTGCGAGCGCCGCGGCGTCTGCTTCCTGGCAGAGGGTTCGACGAACACCGAGTCTGGAAATGACTTCATGCCCGAGTCCCCCACAGCCCCAGCCTTTGATGGGCGCTGTGTGCATGTGTCTCTGTCACAGACGTGCGGCAGGAACAGATTTTGTTTTGACACTATTTCGGCTCGTGATGTTATACTTTGACTATTTTACAACAATAGCCAATGTAAACACACATCTCCGGGATTCTCGGATTATGACTTGGGATTCTTGGACCTTGCCGCTCTGAGATGCCGACGCGTTCCCAGCTCTTGCCCAGGACGCCGCGCGCCGGAACCCCCTCCCCGCCCCCCGCCCCCCCACGGACCGGCTCTGCTGGGGGCAAGGAGAGCGGAGCGGTGTGACTTGCCCCCTGGGGAAGTTGATGAGGGTAGCGCCTCCTCCCGTGACCGTTTCTGCGCCCCGGGGTAGTACAATGGCTAAACGGGGTGCACATTTTCTGCCGTTTCTTTCTTCCGCTGCCATGCCAGAGTCCAGGCAGCCCGACGGTGTCGAGGTCGACCCCACTGGCACGCTACCCAGTCCTGCGTGCATTTAAAGATCATTTTAAGGAGATTATGAGGCTGTATAAGTTAATGATTAAAAAAGAAAGGCTCCAGTCCCTGGTAGGTCTGTCTCGGCGAGCCCAACACGGAATCGCCTTGAAAATGGGGGTTTCGTGGGGGAAAGCGCGCCGGGGCGTTGCGGGGCGGCCACCAGGCCCCGAAGGACCTGTCGGTGGCCGTCTCCGCCGACTGGCAAGCGAGGCCGCCCAAGTTCAGATGGTCCCAGCTGCAGACCGGGCCCTGGATCTGCGCGGCCCGTGGGTGGTGGGAAGGTGTGAAGGGCTTCCGGTGGGGGGTGGAGACGCCGCCCCCCCCCCGCCACTTAAAGCGACACGCCGGCCTGGAAGTCCCCCTAGCCGGCTGCAGGGCCCGCGCGGGCGCTGCGTCCCCATCCCGGCCCGGCCGGCGGCTCGCCGCGCGTCCAGCCCCACGCGTTAATCAGAAGCAGCCCCGGCCCGGCGCGCGTGATGCAGCGCGGGGGGGGGGCGCGGGAGGGGCCTGCGGGGGGAGGGGGCGCCCCGAGGTCCTCTGCGCACGTCTGGCCCGCTGGGGAGCGCTCGCCTTTCTTCCCTCCCGGTTTTGTTCCCACAGCTGTGTCCGTTCCGCCCGTGACCCCCCGAGTGGTCCCTGACAGGTGATGAATGGGCGGCGGCGGCGGCGGCGGCGGCGGCGCGCGGGCCGGGCCGCGGCGGGGCCGGAGCCCGAGCCCCGGAGCAGACTCTCTGGCGCCAGGCGCGTGACGCCGCCCATTCACGCCGCCCTGCAGCCTTGTCCTCGCGGCGCCGCTCAGGCGGCTGCCATGGCAACCGCGCCGTCACTCAGCGCGCGCGCCCAGCTGATCAATGCCTGCGAGGCCCGGCGGTCCCAGGCTCGCCCCGGCCCGGCCGCCCGCCCGCGCGCACCTGCAGCCGCTGCACGGCTTAAGTTTCCAGCGATTTGGGGAGAGGAAGGACGCAGAGGAAAAGAAAAGGGGAGGGGGGGGTCAGGGGGAGAAGAAAAAAAAAAAAAGCAAGCCAGGAGAGGGAGAAGAAAGAAATCTTCCTTTTGCCGAAGGAGGCGTAGGGTGGCGTAGAGGTTGCCAAAGCAAAAGGTTTTGCTTTTTAATTTGTTTTTGCAACCGAGGTCTTCGCGGGGGGGGGGGGGAAGGGGCAGAAGGTGGCTGCCAAAGTTGATGGCGAGAGTTATTTATTGCTTTGGGTGCTAGCGGGGGTGGCTGGGACGCTGGGCTCCTAAAAATACCTTCCGAAGGTCTCTCCCCGACCCCCGCCCCGTGCCCCCTGTGTTCCTCCTCGGAACCTTCGGGGGCTGCACTAGGAAGCACTAGACTTTTCCGAAAGAACAGCACCCCTGCGGCGGCCTGGGGGCGGCGGGCGGACGTCCCGGGTGCTCCGAGCCCGCCCGCGGCGGCGGGGCAGCATCCGCGCCCTCGTCACCACTGCAAAGCGAGCGGGCGCCTTCGCCCCTTTCCGAGGCTGGGTTTCCACCGAGGACGTCGAGAGGCCAGGAACGTCCCAGGCAGCCCGCAGACGCTGACGCCGCCTCCCTCCGTCCAGGCTTTATCTCTAGGGAAAGTTCCAGGGAAGGACCAGATGCCAACATTCCTGGCGGCTCCGCGCGTTCCCGTCCCTCCAGGGGGCTCCTCTGCAGGCAGAGAGTGAGCCGCGATTGTGCGCCGTGGGTCCCGGAGAGGCCGCCCTGCCCGCGGCCGCTGGCTCCGAGTCAGGGGCCGGGGCACGCCTGTTCCCGACCCCGCTATCTGGTTCAGCACCGCGCGGGGTGGTTTTCGAGGAAACGGCCTGCGGATTACAAGAGGATTCAAGTTTTTGCTTGCATTGTTTATTTAACATCTTGGCAAGAGAGAGCCCTTGCCCTCAAACCAGATAACCGAATTTGGGCTTGAGACAGCCTTAACTACGGGGGCGATGAGAGGGGAGGAAAGGGAGCAAAGCCACAAAAAGCAAACAAGGGGATGTTTATTTTTCTCCCTCTGGGTATTTTTGAAGACCTGCCTAAACTCTCCTTGTCGCGCGCGCACGCGCGCGCAGCTAATGGCATGGACAAAGCGCCCCCGTCTCCTCCGCGGAGGCTTAGCAGTCCCCACCCCCTACCCCCCGGTCCCGGCCCGGTTCCTTCGAGGATTCTCGGGTCCTGCCCGCTCAGAACCTCAAGAGCACGCGGGAAAACGCGAGCCGGATCCAGCCCCTTCCAGGGGTCTGCTCTCCTCCTGGGGAGATCCCCTTTCAACTCCCCGCGTTCGAAGAAAGCAAAGTTTGGGAAGTTTGGCCGAGGGGCCGAGTTAACGACCAACACAGCAAATATTTGGTTAACAGATGCCGCGACGTGCCCCGGTGCGTGCCTGTGTTTGGCTTTTCATAAAGGGTTTTCCTGGGACTTTTGTTCCGGTCACCAAAAAATCGACTTGAGTGAGAGATAACGTCTCGGAAAACAGTCCAGGGCCGCCCTCGAGCTGGCGGGCGCGGGGCTGGCGTCGCCGCGTCTGCACCGCCCCCCTCCCGGGGTGTGCGGCTCGGGTCCATCTCCCCCCCCCCACACCGTGGGGAGCCCGGGTCACCGGGGGTCCCTGCCGCTGCCCCCGCCCCCCCGCCACGCACCCAGGTGCCTGGGGCTAGCCGTCGTCCTGTGGGAATCTGCGGCCGCCCTCTCCAGCCAGCCACAAGGGCCAGCTTGTCCGGAATCAAGCTGCATCCTAATGGAACGCAGCACCACAAGCAAAACCCGAGGCCCTGGCTTGTGGGTCCCTAACAAGAAACACATTGTGCTTTTTGGCGGAAAACACGTTTGCGCGCCACGCGGATGCCTCGCGCCAAGTCCATGACTTCAGTGGGGAGGAACCCGCCCGCCCTGCAACCCCCTCCCCGCCGCCCCGCCGCGCCCCACCACCCTGCTCTGCAGCCTGGGCCGGGGCTCAGGTCAGGGCCCGGGTTGGGGCGCGCTGCGTGGACACGTGCCCTGCGCCCTGGGCGCTTGGAGTGCTGCCAGCGCGGGAATGCTAATCACTGCCTTCCAAGGTGGAGAGACTTCTGCTTTTAAAGTAGTTTGACGTCCTTCTCTGGCCCCCACCCCGTCTTTGAGGCTTCCACTCTGATACTGGCCGCCACCCCCCCCCCCCCCCCCCGCCCCCGCCGGCTCCAGGACTATTTACAGACGGCCTCCTGTCCCAGGTAGAGAGAAACCCGCGAGGGTGCTGCAAGACTGTCACGTGCCACCGCTGCCCTGTCTGCAGGCAGGTGAGCGCCGCCCCTGGGCACCCCTGGCCAGCTCTGCGGGGCAGCGGGGGCGGGGGGCACTCCTGCCCTCCTCCCAGTGCCCCTGACCCTCGAAGCCAGGAACCCTCCGTCTACTTCAGTGCCCCGCTGACCACCGCCAGGACCCCGGAGGAAAGGCCACGTGAATTCAGTCAGATGTGGGCACCTGAACCGTGCCCACTCTTCCGGCGTCTGTGTGAAGGACACAGAGACATTCCGTCCCACAGACAAAGGAGCGGCCTGGTGGGCCTCTTCACGGGAAGGTCAGACATTCACGCGGTGAAGAGTAACTGTTTACCAGCCTGCTCCCGGCTCCTGGAGTCCGCTCCTCCCTTTGACCCCGCGCCCGCACCACCCCCCTTCGGAAAGGCAGGGGCTGTCTTCCTCTTACAGGGGGAGAAGCTGAGGCACGGAGGAATGGCAGACCCCTCTGGGGCCCACACTCCCTGTGATTCTGTGTAGCTGTGTGACCTTCACCCCAGGTAGGGTATCGATTACTTTTTTATTTCGAAATTCGCTCCAGTCCCGCGGGCTGGCTCGCTCGGAGCCAGGAATGTGTCCAACACTGTGTTCTCACCTTGTCCAAAGGTCGCACCGAGTGACCGGGCCTCTGCTAACCAAAGGTCCCTCTGTGGACTTCTCAAACCTCCGTGGGCGTAAGAGTCACCGTCCCCACAGGTGGAGCCGGGCGCCCACCCGTAGAAATTCTGATTCGGGGAAGCGCCCCCTGTGCCCGCCTCCTGGGGAGGTGCTGGTGCAGCCATGCAGGGGCCGCCCCCTGAGGGGCTGGGGTGCCCTCCAGCACCCCCTCACCTCCCTGCCGCACAGTGGCTGTGCTTGCCCCCGGGGTGAGGATCTCGGACCCCTTGAGGACCCAGGCATTTGTTTTTAAAAACCTCAAGAGGACAAAGACAGTTTACCATATTTACCCCCATTTTTCCTTTTTCCCCTTCCCGCTGTCCCTGCTGTCTTTGATCGATGACCTTGCTGCTTCAAGAGCGTCCCTTAGACGGACGCTCTTCTGGGGCAGGTGGGCCGGTGGCGAGCTCTCTCTTCGTTTCCCTGCACCTGGGAAAGTCTTGTTTTCTCCCGATCCCTAGGGGCCGTTTTCGCTGGATGGAGACTTCCTGGGTGCCGTCTTTTCCTTCGGCGTTTGTGGTGCCGCACCATTTCCCCCGGCCTCCACGGCTTCCGGCGAGAAGTCTGCTGTCGCCCGAATCGCATTGTCCCCTTCGAACCCGGTGCTGCCTTCTGCCCTTCCTCCGTCTTCCGTTTTCAGAAACGTGCCCAGGCTGTACCGCGGCACGGGTTCCTTCGTGCTTTCTCCAGGCTAGGGTTCTCTCGGTGTCTCGACTCTTGTGGTTGAAGTGTTTTGCCAGATTTGGGGAGTGTTCAGCCAGTATTTCTTCACATGTTTTTTTCAGCCCCCCTCTCGTCCCTCTCCTGGGGTGCTGAGGACAGAGGACATTCAGTCTCCTGTTGCAGGCTCTCGGGCTGAGCTCGTCACGTTCGTAGCGTCCTTTCTGTTGTTCAGACGGGGCCGTCCCTCCTGTCCTGTCTTCACGTCCACTGGCACCCTCTGCTCCGCTCTCCCCTGTGCCTTCCGAGCCCAGCCAGTGCGTGTGTGTGCGTGTGCGCGCGTGTGCGCGTGTGTGCGTGCGTGTGTGTGTGTGTGCGCGTGCGTGTTTGGCTGTGGTTTTCCAGGTCTAAGATCTCCCTCTGCGTTTTTTTCATTTCTTCCCTGTCTCTGCGGAGATTTTCTGCTTCTCTTTGGTTACGTTCGTAGTCGCTCGCTGGCTTTTCTGATCGCGGCCGCAAAACCCTTACCAGTTCATGCCAGCCGCACGTCAGCTCGGGGCTGGCAGCTGTGGGCTGTCTCTTCTCATCCTCGGGGAGCTTTTCCCGGTTCTTGGTGCGGCGGGACCAGGGGTTCTGACGGAGGCCTGGCCGTGGGGAGTGCTGTGTCGCGAGAAGTGGGATCTCACTCCCGTCTTCGGTCGGAGCAGGCTTCTGCGGGCGCCACTCTGGCTGAGGGCGCGAGGGGCCTCCTGGCCGCTCCCCGTGTGGCCCACAGGCACGGCGGGGGTGGCGGCCTCTTACCTCTGGAAGGCAGAGGGTGCCCCAGCTTCTCACTCCACCCTCTCTGGGCCGCCCCGTGGGCGAGGAGGACAGAGCCTGGTTCCCGTGGGTGAGAGTGGAAGTCAAGGGTCCCGCGTGGTCTCCTGGGTGCTGCTGAAGGGGCCTCATTGGTGGCTATCAGAGGCGAAGGCTTCTGCTCACCGCTCTGCCTGCCACCAGCCCCGCAGAGGGAGGGGAGATGCGGCTGGGCGCGGCTCCCCACGTGGCCGGGGCCGCTACCCGATGGGGGCGGGGCGGGGGCAGGGCTAGGGCTGCGTTTCCTGCGCGATGCTCGGGTGGGATGGTCCCTGTCTGCAGCTTCTCGCCTCGTTCCTGCCCACTTGGCTGCCCGTTGGTGTTTGGGTGCCTGTGTCTCCGGGACCAGGCCCAGGACATACAAAGCACAATGAAAACCAGAGAAAACACCACCTCGGCGTTTCTAGGGCCCCGCAGTCGCTAGCCTGCCTGCCCTTCCCCCAACCTCCCAGAGCCTTGAGCCGTCCGTTCCACAGCCGCCATGCAGGGCTGGAGCTCTGCGCAGCGGGGCAGAGAGGGCGAAGCACATCTACTCGGCCTTGTCCAGGCCCGGGAGCCCCCACGCGGTCGCTGTCAACGGAAACAAGAGCACAGAGCAGGGACGCTGGCTTAAGAAAAATGATGCACGTTTCTCTCTTTGAAGCTGCCTAGCGCTTTCACGTTTCCCTCACGTCATCGAGTCCTGGGTGTTACAAAGTGTCACCCAGTTGACCCTGGCCAGCCCTGGCGGCCGTATGGAGGCCTCGCCAGGTCTGATGGCCGTGGGACCCTTGGCTGGACGAGGGCCTCCTCACCTTTGGCCGGAGGGTGGGTTAGAATTCTTCTGGACCAGGGTGCACTCATCCCACCAGCAGCTTTGGGGGCCTTTCCAGCCAGGGGTGCAGGAGAAATCACCCCCCTTCCACGGCAGGGTCCTGCTCCTCTGTCCTCCCGCCGTGGCAGCGCCCACTCACAGCCAGGCTGCCTGGGCACACACACGTGGGCAGGGTGCCGGGTCACAGCGAGGAGGCTTTGGTGTCTTTGTCTTCCCCGAGGGGCCTCGAATGATGCGGAAGCAGAGCAGGTGGGAGCTTGGAGGGGAGATGCAAAAACCGAGCGTCTGGGTGTCTTCCCCGGGGGGCGGGGGGGGCGTGGTCATGGGGAAGCCCCGTGAAGGGGGTTGGCCCACGGGCATATACGGTGTATGATACGTTCCTATACCTACCCCGAAGGAGGCAAGCAAGAGGAAACACGCAGGAAGCTGTTCGCATAGTTCTGTATTAACGCGTGCGTGAGCTAGTGAACAGGCAGGCAGGTCTGATGGAAACATGTCAGCAGTAAAGTGGCAAAGCTGGTTTCAGCGAGCAAAGTCTCCCGCTCACGAGCACCCAGGACCCACCTCAGCGGGGCCGGAAGACTGGTTTTCGGGGCTCAGAGACCGCGGCCAGTGTGCGCGGAGCTCCCGGTCAGGCGTCCATGCATCCGTCCGCCCGGGGAGTATTTACTGAACGCCCCCCACGCCCCAAGCAGTCCTGTGTGAGCAGAAATGATAAGTCCCCCCTCCCCCACCAGGACGCTACATCCTTGGGGGAAGAGACAGAGAAACAGAGTCGGGGTGTGGCTCACACAGGTTATTAGGTGAGGAGGCCGACGGCAGTGCAGCGGGGCGGGGGGGGGGGGGCGCTGTGCTGGGACGGAGCCGTCTGAGCGGACCCTGGACGGAGGCACGGCTCACACCACTCGGAAGGTGAGGAGGACACAGCGCAGGAGGAGAGGGGCAGGCGGGCGCTGGGCCCGCAGGCCGGGTCCGGACAAGGACCGAGGAAGGACCTGCAGCGTCAGGGGCTCCGTGGGGGGGCAGTGAGAGGCTGGGACTCGGGGAGGTTGAGTAACACGTCGGAGGGCACGGAGCTGCCGCGGGTCGGGATTGGGGGCCAAGGCGGGGACGGTGTGTCCGCTCTCTCCGCCCCTTTCTGCCGAGGACGGGACGGCACGGAGAAGAGCGGGTCTCTCGCGGAGCGGAGTGACCAGACGCGGACAGCACTGCCTCGCCTCTCGGGGCCGCACTGTCACGGAGGCGGCGGGGGTGCCTGGCTCGTCTGTTCTCGGGGGCACTGCCCGGGAGAGCCTGCCCAGAATGATCTGGAAGCTCCTGGGAAAGGTGGATGTGTAGACCCTGACCCTGGCCTGTCCCCTAAGAATCTGGGGGTGCAGTGAGGAGTAGGGCCAAGGACTTGACATTTTTCCACACAATTCCGGGGCGACCCTGGGACCCTGCTTTGAGAAACACCGCCCGGCCCCCAGCCTCCTGGCAGAGCACACGTGACCGCAGATCCTGCATTTCCGATGAGACCCCCAGGCGGGGAGTGGAGCGGCCCCTTTCTCGGGCAGCGGGGGCTCTAACTTCCGGGGACGTTGGAGGAGCTACAGGAACAAGCCACTCAGGGGCCGTTTAAAAACGTAATGATTTACCATCAAAATAAACGAGTTTGTTCACTTTAGAATGTAAGCCATACAACGCGGACATCAAGGACAAATCGGGAGAACCACCCCATTGAAGCGACCTTTGTGGGGTTTTTTTAACTTTTTTTTTTAAAGATTTTATTTTCAGAGAGGGAAGGGAGGGAGAGAGAGAGAGAGAAACGTCAATGTTCAGTTGCTGCGGGTCATGACCTACAACCCAGGCATGTGCCCTGACTGGGAATCGAACGTGCGACACTTTTGGTTCGCAGCCCGCGCTCAATCCACTGAGCTACGCCAGCCAGGTGACCTTTGCGTTTTGACGGGGGTGACGTTCTGCCTCCGTTTTTCCGCTGAATGCTCCTGTCTGTCCTCCCGCCCCTCGCTCCGGCCTCATCTCCTCCCCCGCAGGAGCAGCTCTGGCGAACACCGGGCAACCAGGCGTGGTGCTGTGTGAGAACTGGGGTGGGGAGGGGGGGTGGGTCTGCCGCGGGTGGAGGCGTCCACCCTCGTCCCTGGGTCCCTCCCAGAGGCCAGCCGCGGCCCTGCGTCTGCCCCAGCCGGCGTGGGTGACCCCCGCCCCTCCCCCGACTTCCCCCGGGGGACTCACATGACTCAGCAACCTGACTCATCCCGGGGAGCCGGGATGGTCTGTCACACCACCGACACGTGGCGAACGTTCACACTGGAGAGCAAGATCACGGTAAATCAAACACACGAGGACGGGGGGGGGGGGGGGGGGAGACAAACAAGGCCCGGATTTAAGGGCTGCCCCCAGGGGGCGGCTCCGGAGGGGGAGGGGGAGGGGCCGAGCGGGCGACCCCTCCTCTCTGAAAATAAAACCGCGGCCAGGACGAGGACAGCCCAGCCAGCCGATGTCACAGCTCCCACCGCTGCATCAGCTTTGCCTGTCTGCGGGGAGAGGGGCAGCTTACCCCAAGTGTTTAGGCTTAGCGAGCCTGGAGCTGCTTCTCCTTTCAGTGGCAGGAGAGGGAGGCCGTGGAGAGCCCGCCGTGTGTCTCCCCGCGCTGCCCCCGCGTGTCTCGGGACGGGGCTCTGCAGGCTGGGAGCCCCGCGGCCTGGCGCCCCCCGGGCAGCGTGCGGGCTCGCCCACTCGGTCCCGCAGACAGTGCAGGGCCCCCGCGTTACGCCTTCGCTTTCAGAGCGGCCTCTTTGGAGCTGCCCACTCGCGCGGCCGCCTGGGCCCGGCCGGGTGCCCCGTGCCCGGTGGTGGTGCCGCTCCCGGACGGACGGAGAGCGCGCAGGGGGGAGGCCTGGCCTTTCAGCTGGGCGTCTTCTGCCGCTGGGGCAGCCTGTGCCGCTTCGGGAAGGTTTTGCTTTTTGGGTCAAAACTCGGAGCTGGGGGACTGGAAGAGGGTCTACCTTTTTGTTTCGTCGGTTTTCGTGTCTCGCCTGTGTGCGGGCCGTTGGCAGGGCCTGGGAGTAAGGATTCAGAACCGGAGACGAGCCGGCGGAGGGGTCGTGCAGACGCGTGACCCGCCCCGAGCGGGTGGGACTGGAGGTTCCGTCTCAGGCTCCGGGCTGACCCCCGAGGCCCGTGGGCGAGGGGCGCTCCGCGGTCATCCTCGCTCCTGCCGGCCTGTTTCGGTGCTCGCTGTCGCCCCTTGGGACGTTCTCATAAAGTCAGCTCCCGAGGGCAGGGCCTCCCCCCGCTGTGCGCCCTGTACCCCGACGCCTGCAGAGGGCCTGCACTGAGCTCCGGGGGAGCGAGGGAGGCCGCCCCGGAAAAGCCGCTCTGGTGGAACGCGCTCTGCATCGCGTCGATCATTCGCCGAGTCTCGGGTCCCCCGACTCGGCAGGAAGGGGTGACGGCCGGTCCGTGAATGTTCAGAAAATGTTCGGCTGAGCCAGGAACCCCAGGCAGAAGGACGCCGAAGAGCCGGCCCCAGCGCCGAGCACGGACTTGGGTGACCGCTTGCGAGGGACTTTGACCACCTTGACCGGAAGCAAACGTGATTCAGCTCTGTGGGGGCAGGAGAAACCCGGTGATTGATTGCTTTGTAACAACGGTGATCTCACGCGGTCTGAGTTTCATTTTGTTGTTTAATTTTTAACTGGCAGTGGCGCCCCGGAGGCGGCACCTTTGGCTTTTGCCCAGTCCTTGGGCGAAGGGAAAGTCGCCCTCGATGCCCACGGCGGTGCCACGCGTGGAGAAAGCACTTCTCTGCTCTCCTCCAGAGGGCTCACCCACGAGGCCACGTGGGCGGACAGACACGCGCCTGACGCTGGCACCTGGCTCCACCCCCCACCCCTACCCCTGACATCAGATGATAGACGGTGAATAGAAGACACCCGACCAGGTCACAGGCGTGCCTGACATAAGAAGAAGCAAAAAGACCTGGATGCACAGGTCTCCTTCTCTGGAAGGCCGGCACCAGGTTGTCATGGGCTCCCTGACGCAAGTCTTCTACCTCTAGATGATTCCACGTTGGGCTCGGGGAAGCCAGGGTCCAGACACTGGCTGCTGGCTGCGCGGTGCTGCTGGACAGCGGGAGGGCCAGACCCAAAAGGCAGGGAGAGAAAAGTGCCCAGGTCCCTGGGGATTGGACCGCTGAGTATAGACGGAAGGATGGGGGAGGGGGTGAGCCTGCCGCCTCGCTCTCACCGCCCACGCAGGGTCCCCGTGGCCGGGCGGGGAAGCAGGTGCGTGGGGACCGCAGAAGGCCGAGCTGCTGCAGAATCCCTTCCCCTTGCCTTGCCCGGAGGTGCTACCCATCCAGAAATCTTAATTTGGAATGTTATCGCTGCCATTTCCAAAGGGCAGTGGGGAGCGCGTGTCCCTTTTTCATTGGTGTTAATGTCAGCGCTTTGAAAGTTCATTCCTGGGGAGCACCCTGCGATGCCCTGGAATTCCCGATTTAACACCCAATGAAAATCAGCATTTTCGGAGCGAGTCCACTAGTCCACGGTTGATCGGGGAGCTGGGAGCTGGCCCCGGCAGGGACGTGCCGCTGAGATTGGCACGAAAGTGAAGATCCTGACGTTTAGCTCCTTTGTGCCTATAAAACGGCCCTGCCGCCATTCCTACGGGCTCTTTGTCCTGGCAGGACAGGGGCGGTTCCAGCCTCGCCTTCTCGGTGCCAGGAACAGCTCTCTCCTCCTGCTTGAGGTAATGATCTTTTAAAGCAAGATCGTGGAAGTGCGGTGATTTCACTGGAGGAAAGGTCAGGAGTGACTGACGAACGTCTTTCAGGGTTCTCGAGGGTTATGAAGGTGTTAGCCCGCTTGCTCATCTCCTTTTCTGCAAAACCCCGTCCAGCTTCAATCCAAAGAAACAAGTGTGGCGGGCAGCAGTGCATTATGGGGGCATTGCAGCCCACGCGCGTGTGCGAGGAAACAAACAGGGTCACACGGCTGAGACTCTAAGCTGAACTGAGACCAGGAGATTCGGAGCCCGGGTCCGCTTCCTGAAGGGGACACACACCTAAGACAGCGTCTGTGGAGGGACCGAGCCCTCTGCTTCCTGAACACGCTGCTGGGGACCCTCAGGACGGGGGTGTGCCGAGAGGTCGGTGTTCTGGCATGGACAGGGAGTCCAACGCTGGTGCTGCACAGTTGGCCTTGCACTCTGCTTTGGCTTGAAGGCAGGGTGAGCAGAAGCTGTGGCAGGGAAGACGCAGTTGGACAGAGTGATTCTCATGCTAATCAGAGCCACCGAGCCCAGGACGGCTGGCGGCTCAGTTATGTCATTGCCACATATCTTTAAGAAGAGACTCACCAATAAACTGACATCTGTGTGCTCACTGTGGGACAGACATGTTCATTCCCTCACTCACTCACTCATTCATTCATTTATTCAACGCGAGCATCAGGGCTGTGGCAACTACTGAATAAGGCGCACAGGAAGCAAAGATGAAAGACACAAATTTGTGGGTGAGAGGGATGGACAAAGGGATATGTTGTAATGCAAAATAGTAAGTTCCAGGGGAGAGGTGAACTTGGGGCGCTAGGAGCCTGCAGCAGGGGGCTTACCCCAGCGGGGGGAGCCTGGGGCACAGGAGGCAAGAGTTCCTGGGAGGCGGACCTCGCAAGAGGGTGCGGGCAGAGTGGTGAGCCAGGCGCCTGGCTCACGGCTCACACAGTGAATCGGTGGTTCTAGGAGCAAAGTGCTGAATACCGCACCCGTGGCCTGCCACAGTGGCTGCTGCTGGAGTCCCCAGTGAAAGCAGACAGGAGACCCCCACCTCGCTCGGGCTGGATCGAGGGACAGAGCAGTTTGCTGCAAACTCGTGTCCTCAGTGTTGTATGGTCAGGCCTGCGGGACTAAACTGATTCCCTTTTACCGAACTACACCTTTTAAGTGCTTCGTTTCTTAGGGTAAGTCTTGTTTCCAATGAGCTGAAATCGGAACCTACGAGAGAACTTTGGAAAGAAGTTCACTTCCTGGCTGGGATTCGAGTCAGAAACTCCACGTAAAAGTCATCATTGTCTTGACAAGTGAAGGAGGAGTCAGTCCAGGCAGAAGAGGAAGGGGCTCGACCACAACTCGGGACGAGCGCAGGCTGGGAGTCTGCAAAGGCGGACGGAGGGCGCCGAGAGCTGGGGGGGGGGGGGGGTCCCATGTCCAGAGAGGGGTGCCCGGGGCGCCGGCTGCAAGGGACCCCGAGGGGCTCCTCGGCGCACCCGCCTGGTGGCCGCTAGTCCCATCTCTGTGCCTTTAAGGGAAAGCGCAGGGCGCCCAGAAAGCCGGCGATGCCTCCACCCTTTTCCTTTGCAACCTGCGATCTAATTCATCCCCAGATTCACCCCCATCCACGGCCTTCCGATAAGCCGCGCGTCCCGGGCAGGCGCGCTCCCCTCCGCGAGGCCCCGCCCCCTTGTGATTGCGCCTTCCGGCCCTCTGGGCGGCCGCTTCCGGCAGGATGCGCCCGCTTCCGCCCGGCCGCCCGCGCGCGCCGGGGCTGCGCCTGCGGGGGACGGCGGCTCGGGGGACGGAGGAGGAGGGCGTTGGGCGGTGTGCGCGGTGGCGGGGGGCGCCCGGAGGCCGCGGCGAGCTGCTGAGTGAGGCGCGTCCGACCCCCCGGAAGGGGCGGCACCCCCGGGCCGCCGGCCGGGACCGGGCCGGGACGGAGGAGCCCGGGGTGCCGCCTGCGTCCCCGCGTCGTGGTCTTTCCCTCCTTTGCCCCGGAGGCGAAGGGCGTTATCGGTTAAAACAACAACGAATCGTGCACAAATACCCACAGCAGCGGGCACACGCAGAGTTGCCTGTGACCCGTGAAAATGAGCCAGAAACAAAATCAGTAACAGCTGATGCCGTGTTGGTGCGGGAAACGCAGCGTGCTGGTCGCCACGGCTCTCCGCACTAACTCGGGTGTTGCACGGGAGCCGGGCTCGTCTCCATCACGGCGCTGCTGGACGCCCCCTTGGGGGCTGCACTCAGACCTTCCCCGCGGCCTCGGTCCGGGGCTGGCCCACTGCGCCCCAGCGTCGTCGGTGTGGCCCTAGCACAGGTTCACTCGCGGAGGTAAAGAGCCTCTCTCAGGCCTCCCGGGGCCCGCTGCCCGCCCCCCTTCTCCCCTTTTTATCGCACAAAACTCATCCTTCACTGACCCGCTCAAGTCTGCCCTTCGCTGTTAAGCCTTTGCAGCCCCTCCCACCCTGGGAGCGTCCCCTCCCCCGCGCTGTAGCAGCGTCCGGCTCACCTGTGCGCGAGCCCCTATGTCCCTGCGGGTGAATTTTCCTCATGCCTGCCTCTGACTTTCTCTCCAGATGGGGAACTCTTCAAGGTCGGGCACCATGCTTCACTTATTTATTTGTGTCTTGCATGCCTTTCCCAGTATGTGGTTGATGGGCGCCCACGGAGTGGTTCACATGGAATTCTTGGGTACTAAGGTGGGTTTTCTGAGTATTAATACACCGTGAGTTTGAAAAAGTAACTGGCAGTGTGTGAGTCCTGTGCTCTGTTCCGGCGCCCGTGGGACCCTCCATCGCATTTGCGTGGTCCCCTGAGCGGCCGTCTCTGGCTGGCGGCTGTGGGGTGCAGCTGGGGCGGGTAGGTGGCTGCGCCCGCGAGTACAAGCGTTTGAAAGCTGGAGAAGGTGCTCGTAGCAGGAAGTCCAGCGGCGGGCTGGGGAGGTATTTGGGAGGGCGGCCCCCATGTGGAGCTCATTCAACAAGCGCTTGCTGACCGCGTAGAGATTTGATGGATAAGTGAGGCCAGCAGTCAAAGCACAGGTGTGATGGATAGAAGGGAGGGGTGTTGGGAAAGCTGGGGCGCCCATGGGGGGGTGGGGGCGATGAGGGAATGTGGAGGCATCTTGGGGCACGGGAAGAAGGAAAGGGATGACTATGTGCCATTTCCCACAGATGTGGGTCTTCCGAGTGATCTGTCCGTGTATTTTCCTGTTAGACTCAGGTCAAGGAAAGGGGGAAGTTACGTGTCGTGGAAGGGCCATTGGTAACTCCAGCCAACATCACGCGGTCATATTTTTAGTTTTACTGCTCTGGGATATTTAAGGAAGACAACTAGGTTTTGTAGTGACACTACGGTGCACAGGCGTTTCGGCTATTAAAAGCTGAACTTCTGGAGGAGCCGTGATTTAGGAAGGTCATAAAAGGGAAAAGGCAAAGACCAAGAACACCCGCAGTAAGTCAGAGTCCAAATACGGGTCAGGCTCAACGTCATGGCCTAACGCAGCCCCATGACAGCCACCACCTCCGGGCCACGGTTCTGGGGGCCCGGGACTGGGCGAGGGCCCACGGGGTCGGAGGGTCTGGTGCCCGCGCCGAGGCCTGGCCCTTGGCTGGACTCTTTCCTCCGTGTGGCCTCCCTTTGTGGGCTCGCCCACCACCTGGCTGCCTGCTCTGAGTTTTTTGGGGGGCCGTCTGCAACCCAGGGGGCCCCATCCTCCTCGGGGGCCAGCAAGTCACCCACTAGTGAAAGTGCAGGAGCAGAAGTGTGAGGTTTCTGTCGCAGGGACACACCGTGGGACTCCTGAGGGACAGGGGTGAGGGGAGGAGGGGCGCGGGCGCTGAGTGAGGCCGGAGGAGGAGGCTGCGGAAGGGGTGTGTCTGCCCTGGAAGGACAGCCCAGAGGAGCCACGCCCTGGAGCCCCGGGCCCCTGAGGCTTGGAAAGGGGTAGCTGACCCTGTGCATTGCAGTTTCTGCAGCTGCGGGGGTGGGGGGAGTGCAGGTGGGGGGTCTCTGAAATGGTGGCAGGCCGGGGGCTATGGTGCAGGGGTCTGACCCAAGTGAGTCAAGGTTGGCTGAAACCCAGTGCTCCATGTGACCACAGGAGGACTCGGCCCGCCCCAGGTGGCCCGCCCGGTGAGGCCTGCCTTGGACCAGGCCTGTCTGGCGGAATCTGGGCTGAGGCGGAGTCTGGCGAGAAGACAGCTCTCAGGTCCCGGAAGCTGCCGCCTGCAGAGCCTGCAGAGCCTGCGGCTGACTGCTCACACCTTGCGGTGGGCACACAGCTCCAAGGAAGGGGTTGTGTTTCAGACCCTGGGGCGGCCCCCCGGGGCTCATGCCTGCCCGTGTCACACACAGGGGCAGCTCGGTCCCACCTGCTGCCGACGGGGCGCCGCTCAGGGGCCTCTCTGCACACCTGGGGCCCGCACCGGAACCTGGGACCGCGCAGGGCTGCCTGCCTGAGTGCAGGCTGAGGCGGGAGAGGGGCGGGGCCTGCATCGGGAATGAACCTGAGCAGGAGAGTGATGGGAAGTCAGGGAGCAGGGGTATTGTCCTAGATCCAGAGTCTCTTGTCATCCTGGGGAGAACCCCTGAGGCCGGGAAGGTGGTGGACTTCCCCTGCCCCTCCCTGCCGCCCAGCCCTCCTGCTGGGGGCGGGGGGAGGGTGACAGCTGTGCCGGGAGCACAGCGGGGGAGGGACAGGCCCACTTCTGATACTCACTGCGCCCCGGGCTAGGGGACAGCCAAGGTCCTGTCCTAGTCTTCCCCCTTCTTCTCCCCGCTTCCGAGTCCGCCTGCCATCGTGGAAGGGTCTGTGAGTCGCCTGTGGACACCGAGCCCTCGGACCCAAGCTCCTTCCCGACGTCCTGCAGAAAGCTGGCCCGCCGGAACGTGGGGTGTTGTTGCCGGTGGCGTGGCTGCCCTGGGCGAGGCACGCGTCGGCGGGGCCTGCTCGGGCCCTGGGCCCCCAGTGGGTGTGGGTGGCCCTGTGCGGGTGCCCCAGCTTGAGCAGCAGGCAGCAGTGTGTCCCCTTATGGAGCCCCAGTGGAGGTGCGGTGGGGCGGGTTCCTTCTGGAGGCCCGGAGGAGAATCCACCCCACCTCCTTCCTCGGCTCGCAGGGGGCACTTCTGTTCACATGGCCTCCTCCCCGCCCGAGTGTCTGGGTCCAAATTCCCCCTTTTTATGAGAGCGCCATTATATTGGATCAGGACTCACCCTAAGGACCTCACTTTAACTGTTTATCTGTGTAAAGACCCTGTCCCCAAACAAGGTCCCGCTCTGAGTTCCTGAGGGTTGGGGCTGCCATAAGAACTTGGGGGGAAACGGCGTAACGCACAGCATACCCGTAGCCCAGTGGGGCAGAGCCCAGCCAGGTGACGGCGGAGTGGGTCCCGAAAGTTCAGGATCCAGGACAGGCCCCGACTTCTAATTGGGGGAGGGATGAGAAGTGAGCTCAGAGAGTCGTGCGTCCTACTTAGGCAGGGCCGAGGGGCAGCGGGGCAGCTCTGAAGAGCCACTGGGTGGGAGCCACGGCCAGCAGATCTGGCTTCGGAGCCCACGTTCCCAGCCCTGGCTGTACCCTGCACCGGGGACTTCTGGCGCTGGCCAGACCCGGAAGGCTTTCCAGGTGCAGCAAGCCCGGCTGGGCAGCAGCAGGGAGGCTGATGGGGGTGGGCTCGGGGCCCCTAGGTAGGAGGTTTCAGCAGTTTCCTGGGTGGGCCACGTGGAGGGCCTGAGCCCAGGGCGAGACTCCGGGGACCGGAGGAGGAGGGGACCCACTTAGGAGACCTCTCTGAGGCACGCCCTGTGGGGCTCATCCTCAAGGTCTGGGCGGCGGTCCCAGAGACAATCTCATGCCCAGGTCTCTGAGGTGGGCTTCAGGTTGCCTGAGCCGCCGGCCCCCGGAGGTCAGCAGGCAGGAGCTGTCTTTTGCGACCTGCCAGGACGAGTTTCGAGGTCCTGGGCTGCCCGAACAAGGCATCGAGGTCCGGAGCTCTGGGAAGGCGTTGAAAGAGAGAACGAGGCACTCGCAAAAAGCCGGGGTCAGCTGGCCTGCATCTCAGTTGCCCTACAGTCGAAGCATGTGGCTTCCTGCACGCCTCCTGTGCGAGCCGGCCCCTCTGTGCCTCCGGCTGGTGGCCGGAGTCCGTCTCCTCCCGGGCCTGGAACTCTGCATTCAAACCGCCGTCCGCACGTGGGCACGGGACACACGCGGCCACAAGCCCAAGCACTCGGAGCAGCCCGGACGGGCCTGGGCTGTGTCAACGGGAGCGACCCTGAAGCCGCCGCATCCCGCCTGTCTGCGGGACGGCCCAGGACTGCTCGCCGTGAATGTGACGGGTATTCTTGGCTGTGCTGTGCGCAGAGCCAGGTGAGGTTATGGCAAATAGAGGAGAGAAGAGAGTATTCGTCTTTCCTTCCAAAAAGGGCTCTTAAATGTCATATCAAATCGAAGGGAATCCTTGCACGGAGCAGAACACATGTGAGTTGCCGATGACGTCCCCCTAAGAGTCCCCCCAAGAGTCCCCCCGGCCTCTCACCACCCCTCCCGTGCGATTGGCCTGGGCCAGTTGAAACAAAGTTCAAACACACTCATTAGTTGAGCAAATGTCATTTGCTGGAGTCTGAGCACAACTCATTAGCCGAGCCCCCTCTGTTCTTCGTGGGGCTGAACTTGCCCGACGGATGACAAGGCTCTCGGACAGCAAGTTCACCGGCCCCCCCCACCTCTGGGGTCGCCTCTAACGCCTGCGCAGGACCAAACATGACCAGTCCCCAGCCCTCAGGCCTCTGCATCTGGGGGGCCAGGGGAGGGAGCCAGGAGGCTGGGGGCCCCACCGCAGTGCGATGAGACCTTGGGGGGCGGGGGGTGGCGGGTGATAAACATGTGCCCCGCCCCCCAGGGCAGGCGCCTGTGCGGGGAGCTTGTGTAAGGTTCTGAGATACCTCTGGGGCCTGGGGCGGGCTGGGGGGGCAGGGGAGGAAAAGTGGGTGTGTCGGAGAGGGGCACACCTTGGCTGACCGTCCCGAGGCAGCCCAGGACTTCATGTCCTTGCCAGCCCCGATCCGGAGGAGGCCCTGATGGCGCGCAGCGGTCGCCCACCGCGTGGGGGGCGAACGGACTCGGAATGAGCAGTGACTGGGGAACCGGCTGGACCCGGCCTCCAGCCTTGTTCGCGGGTGACCCCGGGCAGGGGCCCCGGAGCTCGCGGCACAGATGGGCAGGGGAGGCCCTGTGTCCTGTCCCTGGGCACGCCACCCCCACCTGTGTGCGCGCCTATTTCAGGTCTCACCGAGTCTGTCCCATTCCTCGCACCCCGAGAACCAGCTTTGGGGGAGTTCGCGATGAAACAGCGTCAGCAGCCATGAGCATGTACGATATCCCCCCTAACCGATGTTTCGGATAGTCCTGTGTGGTGTAGAAGAAAAGGCAGATGGAATTAAGAAATCACGAAAAAACATTAAAAGCTTGGAGGACACACCCAGCATTGGCTCTGCAGGGCTCCCTCCTGGGTGAAGGGACCGGCGGATCCTCGCGCCCGTGGGCAGCAGGGCGCCCCGGAGGGCGAGAGCTGTAAATCAGAGCAGCCTGGCATTATCTGGTTTCCTCTCTGGCGGTAAAAGCCAGACCAGATGTCACCAGAGAGGCCAGAAGGGGCTTCACCCACCGCGAGGGGCTTTCTTGCCCTCCGTCACAGGAAGTGCCTTGAAATGCTAATGCAAGCAGTTGGCGTTGCCCGGGTTCGCATGGCCATGGTGGGAAATAGCCCGGATCCCAACAAAACCTTTTGTTATTAATCAGGAAAATCTGGTCTCCTGAAGCAGAAAAGAGCTGGAAATTAGCAAGGCCACTGGCCACGAGGCCCCCGGGAGCCGGGAACGCAGGAGCAGATTCCGGCGCTTTGCAGAGAGACGTGGGGTGGGCCTCGCTGGATTTCCACGAGCCCCCCCGCCCTGTACCGCCCCCCCCCCCAGCCTCTGAGCACAAAGGGAGGGGGCATCTCTCCGTCTCTGTGCTTGAAAGTCGTGTGTTTTCTTCTTCAGCAATTTCAAGAAGCCGGCGAGAAGCACACCCATTAACAGCATGCTAATGAAGCGTGCTAAGAAAAGAAAGCTAAGCACCACAAAATCAGAGTGGAGCATTTTGCTTGGCTAATGGGCTTGATTATGAGATTTTACAGGCCCTTTTATAAACTTGAATTTTATTTTGTGCTGGGGAAACAGGAAATTTCTGTTTGGTTTTAAACATACATGAGCACACCACCAATATTCCTAATTTAAAGCCGTGAGCGTACCAGCAGCAGGCTGGAGGCGGCAGGGAGGAAGGGGACCAACAGCCCCCCCCCCCCACTCCCTGTCGTTCATGCGTGTGGCTCTCCCCCTCTGACCCCCTCGGGAAGTGGAGGAGTCCGAGGCGGCACAGCCCTCCTGGGGTGCCTCTGCCTTTCCCCACCCCTGTGTTCTCCTAATGATGTCCGCCCTTCTTCCTTCAGGAGCAGGTGTGCCCACCTTGCCACAGCTGGAGCAGGTAACTCTGTCACGGGGGCCAGCTTCTGCCTGGTGGGAGACTTGGCAGCATCCCTGGCTGTACCCGCCCGGTGCCGATAGGAGCCCGCGCCCCTGGTGAACATCCAGAAAGTCTCCAGCGTTAAATCGCCCCGAACCAGGTACATCACCTGCCTGGGGGTGATGGGAACCGCCTCTAAGTGCCCAGTGGCCGGCCTGATGTGGGGCATGGGGTGGACACGTGCTTCTGCGATGGTGGGACCCAGAGCTTGGTCAAGGTCGGACAGGTCATTACAAGCAGTGGGTTGGTGTCTACGTCCAGTCTCCCTCCACACCCACCCCATGACACCCAACGTTCGCCTCCCCCCGTCTTCTAGCCCACAGGCCGGAGGGGGACAAGCAGAGGGAAGAAGCCAGGAGTGGCCGCTCAGGTACGTGCCTTGTTCTGAGGGCTGTGGGTACCCTCCCCGGGGCACCCTGAGCCCTCATGGGGCAGAGATGCGGCTGCCGTTGGGTGCCCAGTCGAACCTCCGGAAAGATTTCAGATGAGGCTTCGCTGGTCTTTGAGTGGCGCTCCATCACCCTGTGGAGACCCCTCGCTTTGGGGAGCAGCGAGTGGACGAAAAGTCGCCCATCTGGAGGGTGATAAGCATTCACCTGTGACAAACGTCTCCGGCACACCTTGTGTTCACCTTTCAACAGAAAGCGAACTTTGAGAAGAATCTGCTGTGGGGAATTTATTTAACTGTGTCCCGGACCACCCTCCCACTCTCCGTCCGGGGTTGGTCTAGGCCGGTGCAGCCCAGAGAAAACACGGGGTCCCCGGGACCGGTGGCCTCCTGCAGGCAGCGAGGAAGTGTCGTGGTCACCCCACAAAGTTTATTCACTTTGGCAGGAGCCTGGTGAGAGGGCCGAGGTAGCGTAGGGAACCAGGAACGCCAGCACATCGGGGAGTGGCCCCTCTGTGCTGATGATGGCAGCAGCAGAGAGCAGCGACTGGCACGGGGGGGGGGCGCGGGGGGGGGAGAGAGGACGCAGAGACAGAGGGGTGGGCAGGCGTGTCTGGCCCCCCTCCCCCCCACAGGGTGCTGTGGAGCACACTTCTGGTCAGGGGTCAGGGTCTCGTCCCCAGGGAGGCAGGGGTGAGCGGTAACTGGCCCCCTGTGCAATGCCCCCCCCCGCCCCCAACCACGCTCACCTTATGCGGAGGGGACAGGGGACTCCCTGTCTGACCGCCCCCTCCCCTGCAACAGCCCCATTCTGGGACTCGACATGCCCATTGCCATCACCTGGGAGGCCGGCCACTGCAGGGACGGAATCAAACGTTGGGGACAAGCTGGATCCCAGGGGACAGCTCCGACGTTGCTTCTGAGGGACAAAAGCACTTTGCATTTGAGTCCTTCAACTTCCCAGGGAGTTCTTGGAACTCAGCGTGTAGGTGGGTCAGGGCCAGAGGGAGAAGCAGGCGCCAGCCGGCCCCCTTTCTGGCCTGGTTCCTGCAGGGCCTCGGCCTCGCAGGCAGACGCAGCGGCCTGGTTAGCGCCGGCCCCTTAGCACCTCTCCCGGGCTCCCTGCCGCCCCCACCCCTCCCCCGAGTGCTGAGAACACCCCGCTCAAAAGCAACTTCGTTTCCTCCGCAGGCACGGAAAAAGCTGCTGGTGTTGGAAGCAGCAGCATATCCTCCTAGACGGAGGTTTCGCCTCGTAGGGGGGCGAGCAAGGAGCAGAAAAAGGTTCCATTATAAACACCTTAAAAATAGACAACAAAGGGGACGCTGGCGGGAGCCGGCTCCGGCGGGCAGCCGGGGAGGGGGGGGCTTTGTGCCGAGTTCAAAGCCCCGAGTGAAAGCTAACGAGGACCATTGTGTTTGGGCAGAAGACAGCGCGGCGGAGCGCCTGTCGGAAAGGGGTGTTGGGTTACCGGCCTGGGGCTCCTGCAGCTTTGAAAAGGCAGCCCTCGGAGCCCCCGAGGCTGTGGAGGTGTCCGTTTTCTGGGGACGGTTTCTAGGGGACCCTTTCCGGGGGGTGTCTCCTGGGGATCACGCAGGGTGTGTGGTCTGTCCCCGCAGCGAAGGAGCTCGTGGGGGTGGGGGGGGGGGGGCAGGGGCGGTGGGGGGCAGCAGTGACTGCCGGCGTCCGGGACAGTCAGCATAGCGGTGGGGCTGGCACCGTCACCGCTTGGGGGGACTGAGAGGCTGCAGGGTTGGGCGTCAGGAGAGCGCACGCACGGACTCGGGGTGAAGCCAGCGCTGCCGGCGCCCTTTCCCGTGCGTCTGGGGGCTCCACCCGTCAGTTTTTGGATGCTCAGCCCGGGAGCACGGGACGAAGTCGGGGGGGGGGCTGCTGTGACTTCGCACGCGTCCCGGGGTGCGTGGTGGCACGGGTCAGCTCTCAGGGCCTGCCTTGGCCTCCGAAAATGCCCACCGCAGCTGGGAATCCAGGGACCCAGCCACGGAGGCCACGTGCAGACATCCCTGGGGGAGCCTTTCTGTGCTCTGGGGACCCCCCGGGTCAGGCCCCCTGCGGGAATGTCCTTCCTCCTCCCTTCTCGGGGGCCTGGACACCCGCTGGCCTCTGCCAGGGGCGCCCAGGGGAAGCCTTTCTCTGCCCCCGCTGCCCAGTGTTGGGGGGTTGCTGTGTGTGTGTTATGTTCTCTCAGTGCCCATCCGCGGAGGGAGGAGGGCGACAGCAAGAACAAAGTCTGTTGCCACAAAACCGCACCACCCAGCCCTGCCCGGGGACACCCCACGCGACTGTGGGGGCGCACTAGGGACAAGCGTCAGGGAGTAGGACGTGGCTGATGTTGAGTGAATGACCCTGACGGACACCCGGTAGGTGGGCACGCGGTAGGTGGACACCCGGTAGGCGGCCCTGCGGCAGGCGGCCCCACGGAGGGTTTTCCGGATAACGAGCCCCGAGCTCTTTGCATCGGCTGACGGAGTTCCCCGTGGGCTCATTCTCATTGATCTTCTAAAAGCCCCCAGTGTCCTTCGCGCGAACAGCAGTCCCGGAGGCGGGCCCGCAGGGACCACAGACACGGAGAAGACATTTGAGGAATGCGAGGGAGGAAGCTGCCGCCAGGGGAAGGGTTTGGGCCGTGCTGTCTCAGGCCCTGAATGTCAGACACGGGGGGTGGGGGGGGGCAGGGACAAGGTGGGGTGGGCGTAGGTGCACTCAGACGGGTGCAGGGAGACCCTGGAGGCCCAGGGTGTGTGAGTGCGGAGGTCGCAGGGAGTGTGGAAGGCGGGACGGTTGGCGGGTCCTGGTTCCCGGGCACGGGATTCTCCACCACGGGGGAGCCCACAAGGGCTCAGAGCACCCTGTGGCATTTCCGGAACAAGGTCGGTTTCAGTCACCCGTGGGAAGTAGGTTACTGTCAAGGCTCTGGCCTGAGGTCCCAGGCTGGGGCTGCTGCTGAGCCCCCGAGGGTGGGGGCCCAGTGGGGGCCTGGTCTGCACCCTCGGAGGTGAGAGCTGGGAGGGGTCTGGGAGAGGCGGGGCGCGGGGGGACCACTTTCTCCCTGTAACCAGCTGTTGAAACTGGAAAAGACACCGGCGTTTGGGCCGCCTGTCACTCCCAAACCCAATAAACCTGAGCAGAGACAGGGATGGAACCTTTATGGGCGCTTTATTCAGATGGCCAGCGATCTGAGAAGATGGCGGGTGCACACCCTAACAGACCATCTTGTCTTTTCTTTCCAGGCCAAGGCTTTGATAGCGGGGTAAACAAGGTGTGGTGAGGGGCTTTGAAATTCAGGGAGGAGTTAATTGGATTAAACAAAAACCAAGTCCAGGCATTCTTGCCCTGGATGGTGGTCTTAGGCTGCTCCCCAGGCGTGGTCTGGTGGGTGTCTCCCCCTGGAGCACAACGGCTTAGATATCTTCTTGAATTGCTTGCCCTTCCCCCGAGGAACAAAGGTGGGGCTGCTTGTGGTGTCCTGGAGTCAGGGCGGGTGGTCCTCCAGTTCCCGGAACAAAGCTTTTACCTGCATTGATTGCTAAGCTTCATAGCTATCACTTAAACTAAAATTTTCCGACTCTTAAGCCCCCTGTCACTGTCAGCCCCAGCCCTGCGCACTCCTCGGGGCTCCCCCAGTGGTCTGTGGGCCTCCGTGGTGCCTGGCCGTGCTCGGCCGGCAGCCTCTGGTTGGAACTGGGCGAGTCCTTTGAGGACCGAGGGCCCCACGGCACCTCTGGCCCAGCCACCTGGCTGTGAGCTGGGGTGTCCCCTCCCCCGGAGACGTGTCTGCATGGCTCCAGAGCAGCTAACACGCAGGTCCCTGAGCGCTCAGGGTCCGCGCATCTTCTGTTTCTGTCCGTCCTCACCACAGCCCCACGAGTGGATGTTAGTACTTCCCAGAGGAGGAGGCACTGGGGCTCGGGCCGCTGAGGGGACTCGTCCACGGTCTGCAGTGCGGCCAGTGGGCAGCTAGTGGGGACATGGGCCGGACCCCAGACCCGAGCTCTTGGGGACCCTGCTCTGTGCCCGGGGCTGTGTTGGGGGGTTGGGTGGGATGATCGGGGAGGAACTGCGCTTTGTCTAAGCTCGTGCTTCTTCACTGTGTAAGGACCGATGATGTTTCAAGACAGTCGTGATCCTTTATAAAGCGCCACGTTTGCCAGCGATTCCTTAATTTTAAAAGCATGTAAATTAGCTGAGATTCCGGGTTTCGTCTGGGATGTTCCCACCCTCACTCTGATCCGTGTGCAGGAGAGAGCTGTCTCAAACGTGTGCCTTTGCAAGAGCAGGTTGAGGAGTCTGTGCCAGGAGGTGGCTGGGTTCCACCTCCCTGGGGTGGGGGGTCGTTATCCTAGAGATAGGGAAACCCAGGCTCCAGCAGAAGCGGCACTGGTGTCCTGGGCACAGCTGTGTCTTCGCCGAGGGAATGTTCAGTCCTGACCCCCGGGTCCGAGAGAGGCCTGCCCGCAGGGAAACTGGGACAGACAGTGGGGCGCACCGGTGAGCAGCTTGCAGCCGGGGAAAGAAGGTCACCTCCCTGGAGACGACGTCGAGGTCTCGACTTCAGGGCCAGAAAAAGCAGCAGAACCAGGCGGGCGCCCCCAGGACCAGCTGCGATGACTAGGCCCCCGGCCCTGACGCCCACCGACCAGCAGAGACCCTGACCCTGAGAGAGCACCCCCCGAAAAGCCAATGCGTATTCTGCTGAAACGGTCCCCTGAGATCCCCCTGTAAGAGCGAGAGAAAGACACTCAAGACAAAAGGCCCAGCGCCCGGGGAACACGCCCATGGTTCTCCCTCCCTCTTCTCTCCCCCGACAGGCGTGCGTCTCCTGAACTCTAAGGGTCCCCACGATACTGGCAGCCAGGGGAGCAGTGGGCAGTGGCCAGTGGCAGCTCGTCCTGGGCTGACCCCCCACACCTGTCCCCAAGGCCCCCTTCTTTCTGACTTCCCAGTGAGCTGAGGCGGCCCTGAGTGGGCTCTCCTGTCGCTTCCTCTGTGCTAAGCCCTTCCTGGCGTCACTGTCCCCAGCTGCGGTGAATGCACCCCATTGTCCCCTGGACTGGTGCTGCGAGATCCTTCCTGCGCGAAGTCAGGAACCCACACGTGACAGCTGGCCCTGGGCAGTCCCGCTCCGGGCTGGGCCCCTGTCCGGTGACAGGTACCTGCGGATGTGACTGTATTTGGTCAAACCATGTTGGCAGCTACAGTTGGATTAAGGTGAGGTCACAGGGGTGGGCTTAATCAATGATCGGTGTCCTTGTAGCCTGGGGCCATTTGGACGGATGTGCAGAGAAGAATCTGGGAGAGCGTGCGTGACCGTGGAGGCAGAGATCGGAGGGCTGTGCCTGCCGACACCTTGACCGTGGACTTCGGGACACCAGCCTGGGGGGCGGCAAACCGCTGTGCTGGAGACCGGTCCTTCCTCTCTTTTTCCCCTCCCTCCCCACTCTGAAAATGAGTGAAATCATTAAAAAATAAAATAAATAAATAAATAAATAAAGGTTAAGCCCTGGCTGGCATAGCTCAGTGGACTGAGCGCGGGCTGCAAACCAAAGTGTCACAGGTTCGATTCCCAGTCAGGGCACATGCTTGGGTTGCAGGCCACGACCCCCAGCGACCGCACATTGATGTTTCTCTCTCTCTCTCTCTCTCTTTCTCCCTCCCTTCCCTCTCTAAAAATAAATAAATAAAATCTAAAAAAAAAAAGGTTAAAAAGAAAAGGAAATCCAGGCCCCCCCCTCAGCACCCAGAGGCACTGCAGCGGGCGGGGCGGGGGAGGGGAGGAAGGTGACCTGGATGGTGTGGGCTGACGGGTGCCCAGGCAGGGGTGAGGGTGCCGGGGAGGAACCGACTGCATCTGTGAGGGGGAGGGTGGGGAGAGGAGGCCCCGGGAGGAGCCGGGCTGCTGAGGGGTGGGGGTGGCCCCAGGCCCAGGGCAGGCGGGCTGCAGCCGGCCTTGCTGGCGCAGAAGCGCACGTGGCTCCCGCTGGTGAGTGACCGCAGGGGCGAGAAACGTGGTGCTGCCACTGCCCCGCACGCAGGGTCCGAGGGCGCTGCTGCTCTCCTGACGCGGGCGGCCGGGCGGCGTGGAGCGAGAGGAAGGGGTTAGCGTCTCATGAACGCTTGGGGCAGGCCGCCCGCATCGGAGAGAGAGTTAATAATTAAGCCGTTGGCGCTGCCGCCGTGGGCCGGGCTGGCCAGGGTCCTCCGGGCTGACCCCGTTCCCCGCCCGCCCGCCCGCCCGCCCTGCCCCGCGGCCTGCGGCCCACACGGGAAGACTGCAGGAAGCGCAGACCGCAAGGCCTGAGCAACAAGGCGTTGGGGCGGTGGGAGCTGCCAGGACAGGAAATGAGCGAGGCTGATTAGGAAAAGCGGTTCAGCTAGACTTGCGTTCAGTAGGAGGCGGGGAGAGGTGCGGGGGAGGAAGCCGGCCTCTGGTGGGGCCGAGGGGCGTGCGGATCCCCCGTGGGGCGGGGTGCTCGCCTTCCTCTCCAGAGGGGAAGCTAGGACTCGGGGAGGGTGAGGGGTTGGCAGGAGGCTCTGCCGTGGGACGGGGCGGCCCAGCCAGGAAGGAGGGTGCAGGCAGTGCTGGCTCCTGACCTCCCGACCCGAGTGCCCACGGTTGCACGGCTTTCCCCCTGAGCTCCTGGAGCTGGGGGAGGAGGCACTCAGGTGTCAGCAGGATGTGGGGGGGCCCCTCTCCCTCCCGGGGAGGGGGGGGCTGTGGCCACTCTCCAAGCTCAGCCCTTCCAGCTACTTCCCGTCTGGGACTGGAGACAGGCAGACGTGCCACCTCCTGGAGGAAGTGTCCCACAGAAGACACACCCCCGTCTCTCTGCCAGCCGGGCACAGGACCTGGCCCTGGGCAGGTCCCTCCCTGGCACCAGAGCCCAGGCGGTGCAGAGCGGTGTCTGTCCCTGATGACAACGTTGACAGGCTTGTGGCTGTGGCTCCCGAGGGCCCCGAGGCCATCTGGCTCCTGCCTGGAGATGTAGGTGCCTCTTTCTCCCCCACAGAATGTCCTGGGGGCGATCCTTCCTTTGACTTCGGGGGGCAGCATGACGGTCCCCCAAAGATCCCCCAACCCAAACCCCAGGACAGCGGTGCTCTGAGTGCAAAGGGAGGGTGTGGCAGGGGAGGCGTCACCCCAGATGGTCCCGAGGGGCCCCAGTGTGCTCGGCCCTTGAGTGTGGAGGGGGAGGTGGGTAAGTTGAGTCCCGGTGCTGTGGTGTCAGAAAGATCCTGCCTGCCGGCTTTGCAGGCGGAAGGGCTCGCCAGCCCAGGGGCGTGGTGGCCGCCAGAAGCTGGAAAAGACGAGGGAACAGACTGTCCCTCAGAAGTTCCAGAGAGACCGCAGCCCTGCCGCACCTCGGTCGGTGGGAGCCCCCGGGAGCCCCACGTGGGGCCTCTGGCCTCCAGGGCCGTACGATGATCCGTTTTGTGTCGGCCACCAAGGCTGTGATGAGTCTTTAGAGCGGCGACGGAGAAAGAGCACACCGGGCGACATCTCTTCAGGGGACGCATCTCTGCGAGCAGATCTCTGGTCCCGTGTCCAGGGGTGGAATGCGGCCACAGGGAGCGAGGGGCCTGGGAGCTGGCAGGTCCTGGGGGCTTCCCGCCTGTGGCCCAGCGTGGCCAGGCGCTGTCCGCGCCTCGCTCAGACAGAGGCGCTCCCCGCACCGCTGCGTCTCGCCCACCCGGGCCCTCGGATCTGGAGCCGCTCCGTCTGGCTCTGGGCGGTGGGCACGGAGTCTGCTCTTCCCTGGGCCCTGGACGCCGGTCTCCTCGTCTGGACAAACGGGAGGGGCACCCAGGGGACAAGGGAAGAGATGGGGGGCGGGGAGGGGGAGGCAGGGCAGGACCAGGGCTGAGCGGAGGATGTCCCCAGACCTGCGGGAGGGGCCTGGAGGGGGCGTGGAAGCCAGGTCCACAGCCTGACCATGTGGCGTGGCCCAGATTCCTGGTTCTGTCTTTTCCCCGGGCACTTGGGGAGTCCCCCCAGCCCCCCGGTGGGCCGCAGGCCATGCAGCTGTGTGTGGTCCACTCGGTCCCGTCCCGGAAGACCCGAAGCCACACGCTCCGGGCTGGGCCCCACGGTGTGCAGCCCTGGGGAGCCCGGCCAGCCCAGCCCTGCAGGCCTATGGTGGGAGTGGGGGGGGGGGTGACCTTGGCCTGTGGAGCCTCAGAGACGCCCAGGTTAATGTCTCACCCACACACAGTTGCCCTGCCTCGGGGGATGGGCGGAATTTCGAAGAGCCCCCCGCCTGCAGAGGGTGGGCCGTGTGTGACCGCAGGCCCGAGAGTTAATGTTTACGGGAGGCCGGGCGCCGAGGGAGCTGTCTCCGGGTGGTGGCGGGTCCCGGGAGATAACCGCTGAGGAGCGGCGGTCTCCGGGGTGGGGGGGGGCGGCCAAAGGCCACCCTGGGCGAGAACCTGTAACTCCTCGAGGCCGAGATAAGAGGGTCCAGGTGTCTTCTCTGCGCCTGCCCTGCCCTTGGGCTGTTTTTCGGGGCCTCCGGGCCCTGCAGCCTGCGCAGGTGCCGGAACAGGAGAGAGTTGCTTTGCATGAGGGGATCACATTCAGGCTCGGTCGGGGCGGGGACTTTTAAAAGTAGACAGTTCTGGAAAATAAACTTCGGGTGGTGGCGGGGGAGGGGGGTCTGTGACCCCCTGGCCGTCTCCCCTGCCAGGCCCACGGGTCGGCACTGATGCTGTTACTGCACGAGGACCCGTCTGTCTAGCTCCCTGAATCCAAAACGGGAGCCTGTGCCACCTGCAAGACGGTCCGTGCGAGGTCAAGGTCGAACGTGCGGACAGAGACGCTTGTAGTGTTTGGGGGCTTCTGTGGTGACCCCCCGTTCAGAGACTCTGGGGCCCAGGAGGGTTGAGGGTTGAGTCTGTGGGAGGAAGCCCAGCCCCAGGCCCCTGCCCAGGGCCGAGTCCTCCGGCCTGCATGGGGGCCTGGGGCCGTGAGCGGCTTGCCCCCCGACACAACTGTGCCCCCCAGCCTCGGCCCCGTGAACACCCATCAGAGGGCCCCCAGCCCAGGCCCGGCCCCCAGCCCAGGCCCGGCCCCCAGGCTGGGGACAAGGAGAGAGGAGAGGGAAGCTGGAAGTTGCCACATTTTTCACTTTAGAACTTGCCACACCGACTTGTCAAGTTGAAATTAGCACCGTGCTGAATTCCGGGTGTTTGCACACCTAAAAAAGTCTGGGAGGCGACAGACGCCGCTTGCTCACTTCGTAAGGTGCGCATCCCGTAGCTGGCACGTCTTAAAGGCACAGAGCTTCCTGAGACGGTCCGGGGCGTTGGTCTGGCTTTGTCTCGGAATCACGTTGGGATCATTTCTTTGTCTCAAATCAAACGAAAAGCCTGAGCCCGGGACTTAGAAAAGAAGGGTGGGACTGCCTCAGCCCACCTGCCAGCTGCCCCGGTGGATAACCGGTCAGCGGAAGGCTAACTCCTGTCTCCTGAGCGGCCCATGCACTGTCCGCAGGACCAGTGCCGGCTGCCCCCCCCGCCCCCCGACCCCTCCTAGGGCGCGACACAGCCTCCTGAGGCCGGTGGGAGTGGGGTCAGCCTGGCCTCACTCTGCTGCCTGGAACAAAGTAAGTGCCCAGTGCCTGGTTCACTCCCGTGCCCGCAACTCCCGTGGGGTAGACGACCGTGACCGTCAGTGGCGTGGGGGACGCAGGACACCGAGCTGGCCCAGGCCAGGTTCCGGGGGTGGGTGGCGTAGGGACTTGGGGGGTGGCCACGTGGCTGGCTGCGGTGCGGTCCCGGCTCAGAGGTGGCCGTGTGCCGACCAGCCTCGGAGGGGGCACTGGAGGGGCCCGCGTTTTGCAGACAGAGAAGAGCATCCGGGTTCCCAGTCCTCCGGCCTCCGCCTCGGGGGCCCTCGCTCTGACCGCCCCGGTGGGTGGTCTCGGGCCAACTCCGAGTCCAGTGTGGTGGCCGAGATCGCAGCAGGTGGGCTCCAGCTCTTCTCTCGGGGCCCCCCCCCCACTGTTCCCTGTGGCCGAGCATGAGCTGGGGCTCTGGCCCTGCTCCGCAGCCTGCCCCCCACCCCCCGAGCCTGCCACTTCCCTGTGGCTCACGCTGCTGCTGACTGGCTCCGGGGTCCCCACGTTCCACGCGGGGTGAGTGAGGTGTGGTGGGGGGGGTGTGCGAGAGTCCGGCTCCCCAAGCACCAGGGCATGACAGCTCCCTGAGCTGATCATCACGGCGGGGAAACAGGGAAAACGGGGGCTGCTCCCACCCTCTGTTCTGAGTGAAGGGCCTCGGTGGCCCAGGGCTGAGGGACGGTCCCTGGACTCTCGGACCCCTGGCCTGGCCTGCTGCATGGCCTCAGCGTCCCTGGAGGAAAGTCGGTACTTCTCCTGTCCTACTCAGCAGGACAAGGTCCCCCCTCTCAGCAGGACCCCGGGGCCACCCCGTCCAGACCCCACCCCCAGCTGGCCCCTGACCCTCCCTCCGTACCGGCTGTGTGACTGCGGGCCGGTGTACGACCCTCTCTGAGTTTCCCTTCCCCGTCTGTGAA